TATAATATAATATAATATCATATCATATAATATAATATAATATAATATCATATAATATAATATAATATAATATAATATAATATAATATAATATAATATAATATATTATAATATAAAATCTAGTATAGTATAATATAATAGATAATCTACTATACTATAATATATAATATATAGTGTAATATAATGTGATACAGTAGAATACTATGTAACGGTGGCCCTTGGTTAGACGTTTGAAGTCTCTGGCGCTTCCTGGGATCTAGGGCCTCAAGGTTCAGGGTTTAGGGGGTGCAGAGCTTTGGGGCGGACTGCTTGGTTTGATGGAGATTAAGGTCATGATGATGCGGTGGGTCATGAAAGTGGTGGTGGTGGTGGTGGTGGTGGTGGTGGCGGTCGTGGTGGTGGTGAAATTCGAGGATGAATGCGTGAGGGTCATGCCCTCGTGCTTGTCGTCATCGCAGAACCAGCGGGAATAGTTACTAAGAGTTTCATCAGCAGCAGCAGGCCCAATACAGGCCGTAATAGCAATGCGAAGTAAATGGCCTCCGTGGTGGCGCACAGCCATAAAAAGACCGCCCGATCTGTAAATGGCAATGCCGGCAACGGTAGCAGTCGGAACACCAACAGTCTCTGCCAAGAGCGGGATGAGAAAGAGTAGCTGCGGAAGATTTTACAAGATAGCTGCAGCAAGCCGCGGGATTTGCAATACAGGCAGAAAAGAAAACACTGCAAGTGTCAGTTAGCGAGAGCCATCGTGTCAACGCTCGAAGAATAGATTTAGTACTGACGATGAGCATGCCGACAGCACAAATCACTGCAGCTGCGGTAGTAGAATGGTAATGGAAGCACCATGATTTGCCGAAGCTAAGCAAAACGCAAACTATGCTGCAAAGATCTCGAGCAACACCGTGACGACTGGTAAATGACTCGTAACTTCGGGTTTAAGGCGCAGGTGGTTGAGGCTTTTGGGGTCCTGGAGCTGTTCAGGCCTGGCATCCCAGCAGAGACGGGCGCAAGACTTAATCGTCGGGGAGCATGCGCACCGGCATCTGGGCAGTTATGTTGCACCTCCCAGGTGAGGACTTTCTCCACAAGCTATTATGCTTTGACCCTTCGCGACGGCTGTCTGTTGTCAGGGTCTCAGGGTCATCTCGCTCCGGCTGTCTCACGGACGAAAGCCCGCGGATGATTCCCTGCAATTCTAGCCGAATGGGCCGGTGTCGATCTTCCTTTGTACCTAGGAAAGTGCTTTGACGCGGCCTCAGCATTCGTGTTGTGCTGTGCATGCCTGGGACACCGGCTGGAGCTCGGGTTCACAACCAGGGTGTCCCACAACCGAACCAGTGGTTCTGAGTCCTGAGCTTCTCAAAGTGTTCGTTGTTTGGAGGGGCGTTGTTGGATGCGACTCCGCCCGGCAAGGCAACACCCTTACTTGGGCGGCGGGGCCCTCTATCGGACTCTATCGTCTTCATGCATGTATGGGACGGCTTGCAACTCCTGCTTCACAAGGTTGCACCCAAGAAGCGGAACTAAACATGGTGAAGGTGGCAGCAAGAACGCAGTTAGGTACGCTGCGCTCATGTAATCTAATACAGAGGTGGTGGAGCCGCCCGATGTCAGCTACGATCAGCAGTTCGATGGGCTCAGCAAAGGCCAGGACCTTGAGAGATGTTCGTGTGCGCATCATCGACAGTGCCGCACGTCAAGTTTTCTCATACTCGTAGCGCAGTGATATGGCCAAATCCCCAAATCCGGCACCTCACTAACCACAAGCCCCGTAACGGACCCCCACGATCTCATATCCCACGGAGGCGGAGAAGCATCCGTGCGGCTCTGAGTAAAGAAGCCCATGCCATGTTCCGTGCTGCCATCCAACCTGGCCGCCCGATAATTGTCTTTGAGAATAAGCGAAACCTTCACAATCCTTCACACACCTTGATGTCTCAAGCTCTTTTTGCGGAAAGCCAGTTTCAAATGATTTGGTTCAGAGCCGAAAGATGCACTTGGACGGCCTTTTTTCCCTGCTGGTTGCACCGGCTTGTAGAGTGATGGCTGCCTGACATGTGAGCGGTTGCAAGGCCCTCTCACGGCTGACGCAGATGCTGCGCAAGGAGGTGGCTGGCAGCATGAGTTGCAGGGTGGACATTGTAGTCCGACTTGTAGTCCCTTAGCCCAACTAAGATGACGGATGCCCATAGTCAGGCAAACTATTCGCGAGCGGTCCGCAAGTCTCCTCGCTCCATCAGCCGTCGCCTGCAAGCATTTAAGACATCGGCACAGATCCAGCAGACCGCCAGCATTTTCCATTGTGACACGACTGGGATGTAGTAGTACTTTCGGTTCGAGATTGTAACTATTGCCATTGCATGTACCTGTGGCTGATGTTTCTAGTTTTTAATAAGACGTTATTGTCTGGCCACTCACTACAGCTACAATACCAGTGCTAGTGACTGCTAGTGGCGCTACTGCAGGAAGTGCAAGTCCCACTGAGGGGAGCCTTCCTCTGCTCGTCTGCGATATGGGCAGAAATCCGACGACGTCCGGCCGCTCGAAAGCATCCCTGGTTTAGGGTCTGGAGCAAAGCCGGTTTGCTTGGCACTTCCTTGTGGCTGGAATGATCTGCGACACCGCGGAGAACATACGTAGTGAGAGTGGCAAGGAGAAGTACTACATGGCAGCAGTAGTGATGGTAGTTAATGACGAGGGTCACGATGATGCTTGTTGTAGTTGTTGTTGAGAAGAAGTAGTAGTGGTGGTAGTAGTAGTAGCAGCAGCAACAGTAGTAGTAGGCGTAGGAGCAGTAGCAATAGCAGCAGTAGCCGTCGCGGTCGCGGTCGCGGTCGCGGTCGCGGTCGCGGTCGCGGTCGCGGTCGCGGTCGCGGTCGCGGTCGCGGTCGCGTAGTAGTAGTAGTAGTAGTAGTAGTAGTAGTAGTGGAGATTTTTTTTCCCAACGAACCCTTTTGGGAGGAGTAGTAGTAGTAGTAGTAGTAGTAGCAGTAGTGGTGGTGGTGGTGGTGGTAGTAGTAGTAGTAGTGGTAGTAGTAGTAGTGGTAGTAGTAGTAGTAGTAGTAATATTAATAGTAGTAGTAGCAGTAGCAGTAGTAGTAGTAGTAGTAGTAGTAGTCCTCGTCGTCGTCGTCGTCGTCGTCCTCGTGGTGGTGGTGGTGGTGGTGGTGGTGGTGGTGGTGGTCGTCGTAGTGGTGGTCGTCGTAGTGGTGGTCGTGGTAGTGGTGGTAGTAGCAGGATTTTTGTTTTTACGACACGTACCTTATTGCTGCGAAAGTACGCGGTCCCGGTGCAAGAAGACTGCCGCTACACGCTGTTTTAGCGAGGTCAGCGTCCTCCATGCCCGAGTCCAAGGCTGCAGCTTAGAGGCGGTGGGGAAGGCGGCTGGCAAGGGGTGGAGCGTCGTCGAAGCGAGTGCAGGCGAGGACGTCGCTGAGGAGAGGCTGATCGCCGTCGATGTTGGTGGTGCCGGCAAGGGGGAGTCCAAGGAGGCTGGCACCGAAGGCACGGGCTGCGGAGAAGGCGAGCAAGGCAGACCAACGGGAGGTGAAGGCAGCGATGCTGGCTGGCCGCATCGGGCGAGGCACGGTCCGGGCGCGGCAGCGCGCAAGCAGCCGGAAGAACTGAGCAGCTTCGGGGCTCCAGC